TATACGTGAAAGTCAGTATAGCAGCAGGTGATATGAATGTGCGCGTGAATGATAGAAAGTACGAATGAAGACTGAAGTGGAAGCTGCTGATCATTTAGAAGGACGTCCTGTGATTGTGAGGCTTGCTTCAGAAACGGCTTGTGATGGGTGGGTGTAGAATTTTAGTTGTGTTAGCTTTTGGCAGTAGTTCAGACTGCATCAAATTGTAATGCAGCAAATAATTCTTAGAATTTATGTGGGGGACTAAAGACCGAGAGAAACGCGACTCAACTCATTTTTATTTTTTTTTAACATTGCCCCTGAGATAATAACACTGAGAATACACCAAAGGTCATCTATATCATTATTATTATTATATTGTAGAAATTACAAAACCCATTTAAATATAATTGAATAGTAATACTTTATATTTAGATTACGTTTAGGTATAGTATACCAATTGAATAGCTTTAACCTGTTTTAGAAGTTATTTTTCTTTTGGTATTTATTAAGATTTTGCCTATTGATGCCAAATTTTGGTTGAAGTTTAGTTTGAATAATTTTGAGTATTATTCATTATTATTTATGGTGGTTGATTTTTTTTTTTTCTTTTTAAACCCTTATCTCTAATTATCTATTTTTTATTTTTGTTTATATATTATATTTTTTTTTGGAAATAATTTATTTATTTATTAAGTTTTACATTTAATTAAGAAGAGAAGTAGTCAAAATCTTTCTTTAATTCTCTTTCGCTTTTTGACTCTGGTATATTACTTATTACTGGAATTTTTTTTATGAAATTGTTTCTGCATAAACGGTTTGAATTAATAGAGATAGTGTATAATTTTTTTTTGGTGAATTAGTTGGGTAAATAGACAACAGTAATTAGTTACATTTCCTATTTTGCTACAATTCAAATTACACGAATTTGTTTAGTTTTATTCTGTTTCTGATTCATGGAGAGCGATCGCGAGTGGTTTACTCCTACAGGTGAAGCAAATACACGCAATAGGAACGAAAATAAGCGACTAACCAGAAGTATATCAAGAGTTTGTAATACTGGGAGATAGTATACACTTGCCATGGAAATAGAACTTGAAAATACAGCTCAACCGAATAGAGCTGGACGAGCTCAACAGGTGGGTATGGAGCAACTAAAACAAATGATGTATATGATGATGAAACGAAACGAGGATTTGGCAATACGGATGACTGAAATGCGCAAGGAAATGGTCGCATTTCGCAGAGCTAGGGGTGAAACAGTAGCACCGCCAGAAGAAGTAAAGTTACCAAAGTGGAGTATACCAGAAATGTTTTCAATGACAGCGCACAGGCTAGAATTACCGGTGGAAGAGCAAGCGGATCGTGTTAGACCAGACAAACCAGATGATCTTGGTTGTGAAGTAGAAACGTTATATCAACAAGAGGAACTTAAGGATTTACGTAGTGTAGAGTATAAAGAAACTCCCAGTTATGTTTTAAAGCATGATGTAAACATGAGGCGAGTGGATGCAATTCAAACATTACCAAATAGAGATATTAACCACTCTGAAGTACAAGACAGTGTACCTACTATAGAAATAAATCGGAGTAGTTCAATTTTAGCTACTGGTGCACGTAACTCTTCAGATATGGCTGTTTGTCGCTTACCGACTTTTGTTCCAGTCTGCATAGGCGAAAATAGACATCGAGAGGTAGTAACGGAAAAATGTTGGTCAGATGATCAAGTTATAGTATTAGGTTCTGAAGTCTTACGTGGAGCACTTGGGTGTGCTAATGAAGATGAGATAAAGTTTCCGGACTGTGGTTCTATTTTTGATACAATTAATCCACTATCTATGAAGGATTGTCATACAGAAAAAAAAATACGGTTATTGGGTTACAAGAACGAATTTAAGGAAATAGCTACTTTATCGCTAAATAATTATATGCACATTTTTAATGTTGAAACTTTCAAGCAAAAATTTTCTCGTAAGTTGACAAACTGGCTGTATAACGTTATCTTAATTTATTATTTTTATGAACTATGTGTAGTTACTTATCGATCGTTCATAATGTTATCAGATACAAGAACCTTGCAGAATATAAGAAAACTGACATCTCGCGATAAGGGGGGTGGTATACGTGATACCAGTCCTGGAGGCAATTTGATTACTGTAGGCACAGGATTAGGCATGTTGTTATATAGTGAAGGAATTGTTTATGCTGAATATGAAATGGATGGGTTTCAACAAGTTAAATATCAGCAAGTCACACACTGCTATGATAGCACTAGAATAGGTAGATTTGCTGCTGGTGGGTCGTTACTTGTTTTACTAGTAGAACTGATGATCGGCAACAGTTACTAAGAGAAAAGATAGTGCATGAACTCAAATTGGCTCATCAAAGGGCCGAAAAGGTGTATAACACAAGGAGTAAGCCAATTTCTTTTAAAGAGGGACAAATGGTATATAGAAGGAATTTTAGACAAAGCAATGCAGCCGAAAGTTATAATGCAAAACTAGCTAAAAAAAAAAAAAAAAATATTAAATGTGTTATTCAAAAAAAAAGGTAGGCAATTCCCTATATACCTTAAAAGGGTTGGATGGTAAGGATATGGGCACGTACCACGCTAAAGATATTTATCTAGTGTAGCTCTTAGGAATCATAGATGTAATAATTTTGTTTATAAGCCAGAAACACTTGATAGTAACATTTCTATTGATTTTTTTTACCAATTATTACTAAATATAATTGACTAGAAATAATTAGGTAAAGTTACGAAAAGAAATAGCTAGTAAGTTTGGACCAACGATTAGGTATTTAGTAAATATATCTATTTAGGCTCAAATGTTTGACAAAGATATGTTAGAGCATTTTTATTATTATCTTTGTCAATAGTTAGTTTAGTCTTAGTCTCTTTTAATTCGTCCTTTTGTGATATAATATCAATTTCGGTAGTTTTGTCCGGTTAACTCAGCCAGTAGAGCATGAGACTCTAACATAGGGCGTGGGTCGAAGCCACACGTTGGGAACATAAACAAGGGTGAAATAAAGTATTGAGATCGACGGCCTACACAGAAAATTTTTCTACGAAGACGCTCCATATCGCAGGCGACATCGGCAGCTTCGATCCTGTTGTGTATGCCTGTGTGAGTAGGAGGTGATAGGCTAACATGAGTAAGAAAATTAAAAACATGATATTACCTCGCATGTCCCACGTTGTCCAGGCAGTCTCAGTGCAGCACCTGCTTGTCTCACGGTGGTTCCTTTGGTAAAGTGAGCATGCACTTCCTTGTCCAAATTCGCGGCAGTAATATTTTATTGACACACCGTCTACTCATTTTTTTATTTATTTTTATTTTTATTTTTTTTTATAAATTAAAATTAGCCTGTGCATTGCACGCACAGCGAAATGTCAAAATTTGCAAGAAAGAAAAAAAGAAAAAAAAAGCTTTTGTACATTTTTTTTTTGTTTTCTTTTGTTTTGATCAAGAGTCGCGGCGAAAAGTTTGGCCAAATTGGAAGTTGAAATGATCAATGCTGCCAGAGCAATGTGTAATGCAAGTATTGAAATAAGATAAAAAGAAAAAAAAAGTGTTCGGAAGGTGGAAAGAAAAATAACATTAACTGGAGGTTCAAGGAACGACCCCGAAAAGTGTACGGGATGAGTGTCCAACGGATTAAATTACGGGAGGAGAATGATATAAGATAGAGATATTGGTTGCAGTTTTTTTTTTGGAAAAAGGAAGTCTTTGGAAGAAGACGGTTGATGTCCGCGAGCGACGTGAAAAATTTGAGACGATATATTGAAAAATTAATTAAAGTGAACATTTAAAATTAACTATTATTAATACAAAAAAATAATTAAAGTGAATAAAAAAAAAAAAAAAAAAAATATTTTTACAAATCGGAGGTTTAAATGATCAAAACTTTGAATAAATTGATGATCGAAAAAAAATTCAAATAAATATAACATATCGGTGAAACTTGGATTTAACAACCTAACAAGCCGTATTATATGTGTAATAAATCAAGTCCAATAAGGATTGATAAGCATATGGAATTAGCCATATATAAATATAACATATCGGTGAAACTTTGATTTAACAACCTAATAAGCCGTATTATAAGTGTAATAAATCAAGTCCAATAAGGATTGATAAGCATATGGAATTAGCCATATATAAATATAACCTGTCGTTGAAACTTGGATTTAACAACCTAACAAGCCGTATTATATGTGTAATAAATCAAGTCCAATAAGGATTGATAAGCATATGGAATTAGCCATATATAAATATAACATATCGGTGAAACTTTGATTTAACAACCTAATAAGCCGTATTATAAGTGTAATAAATCAAGTCCAATAAGGATTGATAAGCATATGGAATTAGCCATATATAAATATAACCTGTCGGTGAAACTTGGATTTAACAACCTAACAAGCCGTATTATATGTGTAATAAGTCCAGTTCAATAAGGAGTGATAAACATATGGAATTAGCCCTAGGACTCACTGCAAGTACATCTAACAGCAACTGGTACGGTAAGCTACCCTTACAGTTGTAGAATAGCAACGGAGAATACTAAGACCGCGCGGAAGTGCTACAGGATATGATTTTTTTTTACGTTAATGCTTATGATTAAATTAATTAAATTCATTAAATTCATTTAAACAATAAATTATATTATGCTTACTCAGTTGTTCAATTACCTATGACTAATTGCCGTCTATAATGTCTTACAATTTTTTTTAAATATTCAATCTCATATTTTTTTTGTTTCTAAATTAAAAAAAAAAAAAAAAAAAATTTTTTTCTCCAACTTATTTTAATAATTTGAATTTTTTTATATATATACATTAAGTTTTTTTTTATTAATTTTCTTGAATTAATTAGTTCTATTTATGAAATTATTAGTAGAAATAATATTCATTGTTAATTTATTTTGGATATGATATTAGTCACGCAAGATTAGAATATATACATTTTTTTTACTTTAAATGATGTACATATATTATAAGTGATCAAGCACATCAGGTGTCTTTGTTTTGTTATTTTTTTCTTTGATTATCCACAATTTGTTTTTTTTAATTTTTTTGTAGCTATTTAGGTCAGCAACGCGGAGTGACGTCACTGCTACGATGTTGGTAAGAGTAATCAAAGTAATTAAAATATTGGTAGTCTAAATGTAAAAGAAAAAAAAAAAAAAGGAAAAAAAAACAAAACAACAAGTTGATGTATAGAAAGCTATTTTTTTTATTCTCGTTATATTTATCTATTTTCTTATTATAAATATATTATGGATATACATATAGTTGTGCATTAAATAGTAAGAGTAGATTGTAAGTTTTTTATTATGAATACATTATGTATATATATATATATATTCTTTTGTATTTTTTTTTTTTTATTTGAAGAGAATTTTGCTTAGTTTAGTTTAGTCGAATTTTTTTTGTATTATTATATAATAAAATAATAAACCATAAAAAGAAAAAAAGAAACCAAATTAAAAATAATTCCATTCATAAGATTTTCTTTTTTTTGTGTAACAAACTAAATGTGTAAATGATGTAAATTCAAACAAAATGATGGCTTAAGTTCAATAGATATAGGTGACAGGTGAAAGTGAAGAAGGGGGCAATGTTAGGTTGCAGTAAAATAAAAATGAGTTAGACAGGACAGGGACGAACATGAAAATAGGGAGCTGGAGAGAATTTAACAGGGCCTGTTACTTCAGCTCAACGGTAACTACGGTAATGTAGTGAGGGTGGGTAGGTCCAAACCGACCGACAAGGACAAGGACAATACGAAGAAAAAAAAAAAAAACTGATAGACACAAGGTATTAATATTATATAAAATTACTATCATTGATTGTAATTTTTTTTGAACCAAATTCTCTGGCACGATTTTTCTTTATTTTTTTGTTACGGTTCGGATGTGCTATAGCGGAGTAAAGAATCCAACCCTTTTCTGACGAGCTAGCTGGCCTCGCCACCGTGCCAGACTCTAACTCTGCACACATGAATATAAAGATGTTGAACGTAACAATGCCAAATAAAAAATTCCAGCCATATGACAAGTTTTTTGGCATTCATTTGTTGTGATTCAATATCCTGCACCAAAACAGAGGACGTTCAATCAGAGTTGTTCGGAAATATGAAGTAAAAATGTTCCAACACCTTTAAATGCTTGTATAAAAATTAAAATAAAATAATTTTTTCTATAAAGTTGTGCCGACATATTGCTTATATGCATAAATTGATGGAGGGAAAGTACTTTTATTTGTGGAAAGGATATGTTTTTATGCATGAAAATGTACATATATATATAAAATAAATGCATTCATGAAGAGTTCTCGTACAGAATATGAAAGGATCTCTGTCAGCTTTTTGCATGCATTTGAAATGAATTTTGTTTCAATGCAAAACGCATTTGCATGTTTTTAATATAAGTGTTATTTTAGTCTTTTTTGATGAATAGGTTAACTCCTCTTTCATTCTCTTTTCGACTTTGTATTGTGTATTATAGTTTATAGGACAAGTATCGGATCATATAAAGAAAATGCAGTACGGGAGGATGCATAAAAATAAAATTTATATTCGATTTACTCTTGTCATAAATCTGACGGATTTTGCAAATTACTGATTTATGTTTCTAGCCAATCGATCCAAAAGTAAGAAAACCTTCATATGGAAAATTGACATTAACAAAAAACACAAATGTTAACAAAAAATTCCATTACATTCAATGTATTTTAAACTGTAATTATGATTCCGAAAGTACAGTGGAAATTAACATTATTAACCCATTAACCTCTGTATTCAGACTTGAAAGATTTTAATGGTTTTAATGGTTTTTAAATGTACACCTGATTTGAATGTTTTTGTATTTCAGTATTGCATTTTCATTGAAATTGTTTGAATTTTCTTCGAAATATTCTTACATAGGAGTTATAATTATAATATAGGTACTTGACTATTATAATAAAAATTTCTTCTGAAATATAAGATTTAACCGTGCTCTGAAAAATAATTGAATACTTTATAACTTAAAATACAGTGATAAGATTCACATACATCTGATAAGTAAATTTTAGAAAGACTGCAGAATAAATAAATAGTAATGACGATTTATTTGTATTCATAAAAGTGTAATAAAATAACTTTCGTGGAATGTAGTGAATCGTGGAGTAACAGTAGCATGACTTTTTCCATATTAAGTTCCAACATTAGGTTCATTATACAAGAAAGAGTAATACCTAAAATTATGCAATAAATACTGCATCTACAAACAGAAAATAATTGAAATTTAATAATTAAAAATAGCCAGTGCACTTAAGCACTTTTATTCTTTCTTAACTGGAGGTATTTTCAAAACCCCTCTTTACACCTTGACTATATTATTGTTTATCACTTCATCAGACTAAGCAATAATTGACCATAGATCTGCATACCTCCCCAAGGAGCCTGTAACCATTTTGAGATTTGATAACGCGGTGTTGGTAGGTCTGTCAGTTTT